AAAACACGTATTTTCATACTTTTTTAAAAAATTTATTCTTCTCTTATACAATATACCCCAACAACAGCCTCCCTTCCCCCTCATTCCTCCCACCTACCCTCTTCCCCTCTTGCCCTCCCCCCAGCCCCAGCAGACCTTTCAAGCAAGGACTTATGTGGGTCCCAGGTTTTGTGGCTGGGTTGGTGTCTCAGTTGCACTGGGAGCCTAGCCTGGTCATAGAAAATGGCTGTTGCAGGCTCCAATTCCTCCATTATGAGGAGTCCTCACTAGGGTCACCCTCGTAGGTTCCAGGAAGTTTCCAGTACACTAGGTTTCCATACCACCCCCTAAATGCCCACCTAGTCAGTCATCTCTCCCTGTATTCTCTACCTCCATCTCACCCTCCCCACCAGATTCCTCCTGTCCCCATCTTCACCCACCACCAGTTCATCCACAAAATTTATTCTATTTCCCCTTCCCAGGGAGATTCATGACACCCCCAGACCTCTCCTCTTTATCTAACGAACAAAACAAACAGAGTCTTCTCTAGACTTCACCCTGTAAGACAAAGGTGTTGCTTCAGAGACTGCCTTCCTTTGGGAGACAGGAGTCTCTACAAGATGGCTTCTATTAAGAGTTACTCTTCAAAAATCCTTCAATACATTCTGATCATGGCTCCCCCTCATCTCCTCCCAGATCTTTCCCAACTTCCCATCCTTCCAACTCCACAACTTTCTTTCTCTCTTTAAAAAACAAAAGGCAAAAAAAAAACCAGATTCTTTTTTTAAAAAAAAAAGCATGATAAACACGTTCATGTATAGACACACATAGTCATACAGACACACACTCAAAGGCACAGAAAGACACACCAACATGTAGACACAGACACACACCAACACAGAATCAGACTCACAAAAACACACATACACAAAAGCAGACACACAAAGATACATCCAGACACACCCAGACACATACACAAACACACTAAAAATACATAATTCTTAAACTACTACAAGTGAAACTTTAGAAAAATAATTAGGGCTGCCCTAATTATTTAGGCTTACTAGTTGTGCATTTACTATTTGGGATCTGGAAATTGGTTTTTGTTTTTTTTTAACAGCAACAAGAATGGTGCAGTAATAGGAAAGTTCTGTAAGATGCAACACTTCTACTTTAAAATGAGAATCTTGTGTTTCTGGATTTTATTGCTTGCAATAAAATCATTTTTTTTCTTTAAAAACAGTCCTACTATGTAGCTCAGGCTAGGCTTAAGTTTGTAACTCCCCTGCCACAGTCTTCCAATTGCTAGGATTATATGTGTAAACCATCCACTCCCACCCAGGGACACTTCTAACTTTTCAAAAGAGAAATTCATATTTCAGTATGAAGGACACACTAGGATAACATGAAAGTTGAATAAATCAGTAAAAGGGCAATATGCCCACAATTTCAAATGGTTCAGGAAAAAAATGTAAAGAGTGCATGAGGAAACACAAAAAATATGACAAAAAAATAACATTTGGGCAATTTGGTTAAAAGATGTAGGGTGTTCTTCATGCTGTTCTTGTAACTGCTCTAGAAGCCTGAACTAATCAACAGGGCTAACAGCTGCCCCTGAGGAAGGGACCAGCCATGCTCTCTTGTAACCAGTGGCATCCACGGGAGACTGCGCCTGTCATCCATGGGGCTCCTGCCTGGCTACTCCATATGGAGTGACCACCATGGTAGGCGGGAAGTGAACGGACCCTTGAAGGTACAGGAGGGAACAGCTGCCTCTCAGTAAGCAGCTCTGAGGATCTTCAGGGCACACAGAAACCCATGCATGTCCCTTCCAATGCATACACCCCACACACACGCACACACAACCCATGCATATTTCCTCTAATGCATACACCACACACACACACACAACTACAGGAACTGATAGGGAACCCCAAAAGAGTAAACATATATCCAGACGACACTGGCCAGCACTGCAGTTGGGGGACTTGTGGACCAGTCTGTTTTATGAAGAATAAAGATGAGAAACTTGGGACAAGAAGACCAGGAAGCTAAAGGAAACAGGTGGAAAATGTTACAGACATTTGCTCTGCCAAAAAACTCGAGTCTGAGGCGGCAGGACTGAGCAGAGGTACCAGAGATAAACATCACTCTATACTATGGGCCACCAGTGGCTCAAAGAGCACGGCTACACTAGACGATGTTCCAGCAGAGCCGGCCAGCCACTGTGGAGGATGTCAGAAGACAGCATTCACTGCAGGGAGAGTCAACCACTCTCATCCATCCATTGCCGTACATTGGAAGCACAAAGCGAGCTTTTTCCAAGAGAATGATGGACAAGTCTGATTCTCAGCATCTCTGACTTAACTGGTCTCAGTTATCTGGGTACCAGGACTTTTGGAAACTCTGTGATATTTTTAATATGCAGCCAAGTTTGAGAATCTCTGTCTTCACACACACAACCTTGAGGGTACTGTGAACCTAAGAGCAATGGGGATTGTGCGGTCAAGACCAGAGTTCCCTCCTGCTGCAGAGAGAGTTCCTATTACTGGTCATAGGAAGATGGAATTCGTCCTGGAACTCCTCTACCCGACGATGCGCTTTCACTCCCACAACTGTTGCTACCATTCAGAAAGGGTTAGGGTTTTGGTTTTGGTTTTTTGCTTTCTATTTGGGAATTCCCTGAATTTAGGTTGATTCCAGAACTGGCGATCAATGTCTTTTGGTAACTATGGGGAGACATGGGCTGTGACTCAGAATGCCATGACTGAGTCCTTCCGTAAGGGTCCCCTTCCCCCGGGCTGCTCTGAATCATCAAACATGGACGACTCTTGTGTTGCTTCCCTTCTTCTCCTTCCCAGAAAACTGAAGGCTGTGTCACTCTTCCTCCTCAGGGCGAAAACACTGCACTTCTAGAACCCGGTCCCTCCCCAGGTGGAAATTAGCAGCTACTTCTGTGCCGGGCAGGACCAAGCCTGACTGGGCCTGAACACAGGATTGTCTGAGCTGATGGGAAGAAACCAGCACTACATGAAAATAGTACTTTAGACAGACCTCAACACTTCCTGTTGGCGATTTTATCCAGTCTCCAGACTCTCTCAGTGCTGAAAAGACCATGCCCCTGGACCAGACATCCCCGTGAGGATCATCCTCGTTCCTAAGTATGCCCACACCAAACTCTTCATCTTCACTCTCCTTGCTCCATAGCTTCTACAGCTCAAAACTGGTGGCGCCATTCTTCTGGTGGCCAAGGACAATCTCACAGCCATCCCTCGCTCTTCTTTTTCTCTCCCATGTTGCATTTAATCTTAAGGCTGATTCTGTTGGTCTATCACTGTATTCCTTCCAACATTGCTGTCGTTCCTTCCTCTGTTTCCCTGCCCCCGCCCTTGTCCCTCTGCGGTATGTTTGTCATCTAGCAGCTGCTAGATGACCATCTGGAAACATTGGATCAAACAACACAGGTCAAAACTCCCTCTCCCTCAGCACCTCATTTTGCCCAGAGTACAGTTGTTGCTGGGGCTGCAATTGCTGCCTGTGTCTCCTCCTGACTCAACATGCTCCTGCCAGAAGGCAGACTGGCTAATCCAACTATTGATGAGGTCACTCATATTACTGGCTTAAAGAGCAGAGATGGTGAGTATAAGAACATGTTAGAAAAGGCCATGAGTTTGGGTTTGGTCATGGAAGGCAGTACCTGCAAGCACAGGCCCCGGGAGCTACGGGGAACGTGGTGGCTGAGGCCCTCAGAATGACAGAACACCTAGGAAACTAGAGGGGAGCGGAGAAGCTTGGGCAGAGTGCCCATCCATGAGATAGACAAGTGATGAGCCACTTAGAAAGCAAAAAGGCTGAGAAGTACCCAAAAAGACGGGAAGATTGCCAGAAGAGCTGGCACAAAGACCAAGGGCAGAGATGTCTCTAGGAGCGAGGGTGGTGAGCAGGACCTTGGTAGATAACACTGGCTAGACACAGTGTTCACCCCCAGTTGCAGGAAGTAAGCACACCAGGTCACCATACTCCTGTTCCACCTTCGGTCTTCAAAACTTCTTGGATGTTGGGGAGGTGGCTCAGCGGTTGAGAGCACTTGCTGCTCTTCCAGAGGACCTGGGTTTGATGACCAGCACCCACATGTTGTCTTACAACCACTGGAACTACAGTTCTAGGGGATACAATGCCGTGTTCTGACCTCTCTGGACACCAAGCGTGCAAGTATTGCACACACATACAAGGAGGGGAAACATCCACCCATAAAAAAAAATGAATGAATCTAATTTTAAAGTTTTAATATATTAAAAAAATCAACACTCCCCCAGTGTTGGGGAAATGGCTCAGCAAGTAAAATGCTTGTTGTATAAACTTGAGTGAAGAGCCCCAGAATCACATAAAAATTCAATGGGCATGACAGCCTGTCTGTAATCCCATACTCTAGGAAACAAAGACAGGGAACCTACCAAACAATCGAAAAGCGTGAGACCTTGTCTCAGTATATAAGGTGGAGTGCAAACAAAGAGAGGAAGACACGCAACATCAACCTGGGGGCCTCCACACACGTGCCCACACATGCAAGCGTATCACACACACATACACATACATGCAATGAAAACAAAAACCAAAAAGAGCATACACTTCCTGACTGACAGTGATATGTGTGACCCCTGTTCAGAGGCAGAAGTGAGAGGATATTACATCCAGTGTCAGCCCAGGCTGCATAGTAAGACTGTCTTAAAAACAAAACACAGAAACCAACCTCTTGGGAACAGACAAATGGCTCAGAGATGAAGAGCACTGGCTGCTCTTCTAGAGAACCCAGGTTTGATTCCCAGCCCCCATATGGTAATCCAAAACCATGTGTAATTTTAGTGGTGGGGATCTATCTTCTTTTGGTTTCTGTAGGTAACAGGCACATGTGTGGTACACACACACACACACACACACACACACACACACATGCAGGCAAAACATCCATATGCATAAAATAATTTTTAAAGGGTTTCTCCCATCAAAAACCACACACAATCTAGAATTTAAGATATGTTTATTTGTTTAATAGGAACATTCAGGTATATAAATAAGGTAAATACTTTCCAATATACAATATATCACATTCTTACACTGCACTGAGAAGAATCTACATGTGTTCTATACAATCCTAAGTGCAGAGAGAAGGGCAGGGCATGGTGAGAACACTGATTTAGTAAAGCCTGGCTTAGAGAAGTGACCCAACAGGAACACACACGTACATATCTATCTAAGAAAACTAAGGATTGTCACATGGATGCCACACAGCCAAATGCTGTGTCCCAGGCCCCCTAGTCTGAGGACAGGAAAGCAGCCAGGCAGTGTAGGACAACTGGATGCAGCAGGTCCCTCCACACAATAAAAGAGGCTAAGAAACTAGGGTGCTCTGTGCCGTCTGCCACTGTGATCCCCACTGCTGTCAGGAAAGTGTTAACTTCAGCTCAGACTCTAGAAGGGGCCAATGAGCCCAAGAATCCCAGGATAGATTTTCTGAGGTGACTTCTGATACCTACAGCCACCAAGAAGCACTGAACTGGCCCGAGTCCACCTTTGGTTGTGTGACTCCCACCCCCTCCCCTGCTCTCGGTCCTGTTGCTGTACCTGTGACTTCTCTGGAGTCCTTAAACTGGACAAAGAGTCGCTGCCTCCCAGGGCCTCCACTCGTTCGCTTTGTTATTCAGCCTTCGACACCTGCTCAGTGTGTCCCAAGACAGAAACCAAGAAATGAGAGAAACTTCATACAAACCAAGAAATGAGAGAAACTTCATACAAAGAACTCAAACACGTGTGCACATTCAGCTCACTGCAAAAACACTCTTATCCTTTCTCTACATCAGTGTTCCTTTGATAAAAGCCAGAAAAACCAACACACAAACCTAACGGGTGAGAAAGGAATTCTAGTAAGGGGGCAGAGGTGGCTGAGAACAATTTCCCTTGGGGTAGATGGCCGTGTGGTGAGTCCTTCTGAATGCTGTACTCATTCAAAGTCCTTCAAGAGCTAGAGCTGGGCATGGCCACGGTCTAGGAAAGCAGGTCCCCAGGACCTCTGTTAGCACTGGACTTCTCTCTCCAGATAAAGGACTGCCCGGTCCATCAGATGGCACAGTGAAGGAGGAAGGGCCAGGACCGGCAAACACAAGTCCAGAAGAGCAAGAGAAGCTCCAGGCTCTGGATTCTAGCAACAGGCCTGCAGGTCCCATTAACACCCTGGGATATTCCACAGTCAGAACAGAGGTTCCTACTCGTGTGGTCTGAGAATCTCCTGGGCCATGTTAGCCAATGCCATTCAATCAAAGGGAAGGCTTGTCTAAGACACACACCCACATACTCTCTTTCTCTCTCTCTCTCTCTCTCTCTCTCTCTCTCTCTCTCTCTCTCTCTCTCTCCTTCCCCAACTCCCCATGTCCACTCAGAAAACTGATTAAACATTTCTCCATTCATGATTAATAATTATGTGATATGTGATCCTTTGTTAATCTAGAACAGACTGAAACACATCACCTGGCCTCAATGGTCACCTGCTATAACCTGTTCTTTTAAAAGAAACGCAGAGTGGAATGCTTGTGGTGTCAAGAGCACAGGCAGGGCATTTAGGCTTCTGGCTGGTGTACTCAGCAGCAGAATTGTTCTCTCCATCCTGTCTATTCCTGAAAATGCACACTTGTAGAGAGAACCATGGATCCCTGAACTGTACAAGAGTGCAGGCCTTGGTTGGGGAAGTGGGGTCCAGAGCAAGACAGGCTCTTGCTGCCCGGGGTGGAGGCACCCCCAGGTCAGAGCAAATACCCTTCCTGTGAGCAATCTCAGCCACAGGAAAAGAGGAAGCAGCCTCACATTGTCCCTCAGTCAAGGTGGCCTCGATACCATGGAAAACAGCAAGCTGCTGCACGGGGCTCTCCCACTGGACGGCTGAAGTGCTCCTCTTGGGAGGCCAGTGTGGTCACTTTATAGGACACAAACAGCAAACTACGTGCAAGCAGTGGGAACGTGGGAGCTGAATACCCAGCAGCCCATCAGTGTGGGCCGAACCACTCACTGAGCTCAGTTTAAACAAAATAAAAAAAGCAACTACTGTTTATTGAGTGCTGACTATGTGCCAGTCACTTTGCTAAACACATGCATCAGCTCAGGAGATCCGCACAAGCATCCTCACAGCCAGCTGGTTGGAAGTGAAGACCGCCAGCACCCTGTAACCTGGCCAGATGGAGCGCTGAGCCTCAAGTCTGTCTTCTTCACATTGTTCTCAATTTCTAACACAGAGCTTCAGTTCTCCCATCTTTAAGATGGGAGAACACCTAGCCAGGGCGTCTTCTGGATCAAAGGAGGTAACGCATGCAAGCCCTTAGCACTGTGCCTGGCACATACTGAGCACTATATGACTGCAATTTGTTAACAACACACTGCTGCATTTCACCAGCTGGAGAACAAGATAAAGAGCCGGGCAGACAGGCACTGACGGAGAGGAAGGGCGGGGACAGAGTCTTCAGACAGCCAATGGATTTGAAGACCACTAGTCATCAAACTCTAGCTTTTGCATATTCTGCCCTTCTAGTCTCAAAAACCATTCCCATGTCCTAAAACCCCAACACTTCAGCATTCAAAGCACACCTCTAAACTGCTCCCAACATCATGGTCTTTTGACCTTTGAAAACAACAGTGTGGCCTGCCCAGTGAAGCAGCAACCCAACGGTAACAGTCTCCACCCACAGGAGAACCCAGGGCCCAGGTAGGGTCCCTGCCAGTCAACTTGAAGAGAGGAAGGCTAGAGGAGGCAGAAGGTGAACCACACTCTAACAGAACAGGTCAGCAGCTAGGAATGCTCCGAAGCATGGACTCACCCTGGAATAACGTGAGTGAGGACTGGCTAGGATGCTGCAGATGGGCCTAGCACAGCCCTGAAATAAGGACCCTTCTCTACCCTCCGTAAGTCCCCCCTCACCCAGGGAAACTGAATCAGGAAGTGGACGCTAATAATCTCTTTACAGACAGGATGCTGAACAGCTGACTAGTGTGATAATGGGAAAGGAAGTTTCATTTGCCCAAGACAAGGGAGAGTCGGAAGCGCTGCCCAAGAATTAGCCTCCCCTCTTCTGGGCACCCACTGTACCCTGTGCTCCAGACAGAGTCCACCCATAGCTGACTACCTTGTGTCAGAGTTACCCTGCCCCACCCTCACTCAGGTCTCCCTCCTCATCCTGACCTGGGCAAAAAAAACCACCCTCTTCCCCACGAGCCAGTGAGCAGGAACAGTGGGCACAGACACGATATACTCTGAGAGACAAGGACAACATGGCCTCAGATGTTCCTAACAAGAAGATTTAGCTGTGTTAGTCCACTTTGGGAGTGAGGAAAAGTCTCCCCTGAAGAACTACCTCAGGCTGACTTCACAAGAAAAGTGACTGCCATACAGTCTTGTGTGTGAGATACCCTGTCCTAAGTCCTTACGTCACTCCTCCACCCAGCTTCTCAACAGGGACTGACCTCAGCTTGCCATGGGCTCAGTAAACTCAGGGACACATTCAAATCTGGCTCTTGCCAATCCAGCAATTAGCCCATAATGTCTTTGTTGATTCTTCTGAAATACACTGCTCGACTTTTCTTGTGTAATATAGGCCAGGTTATAAGGGAAAAGCAAGCAGGGGCAAAATAATCATAAAAATAGTTTCACAGTCCACCTATGTAAGATTACATGTTAGATTCAATACCTCTGAAGACCAATTCATGTTTACTACAGCACAATAAGAATAAATACATTTTAAATGGGTTAGAAAGCACACACTAAAAGGCTGAGATTGTGAAATAGGCTGTGTGTGTGTGTGTGTGTGTGTGTGTGTGTGTGTGTGTGTGTGTACACTCTCCAATTTCCTTACAGGACTTCACTTTCAGAAGTAAAATACCAACATGAACTTTGTTTTTCACACTGAGGTGGTTAAGAGGGTGGGGATAACACACAAAGGGAAGCCTCCATTTCCTGGGAACAATCGTGAACAAACTCACCAGGGAGCCACCCTGGCTTGTTCTGTCAGCCTGGGTTCTGCGACCCCACTATCACCAGTTACAAGCTAATAGTCAACTAAGCACTGGCTCAGGCCTTGCTCAGGCCCCCGGGACCTAAGAGAAGGAACACTGAAGAACTTCAGGTGTGGGGACGCCAAGGACTAGGCATTCCTGTCCCGCAAACAAACTGTGAGATGCAGTATTCTGGTTGACCCCTGGCTCTCATTTGAGGGGCCTCAGAAGGCTGCTAGGAATAGATGGCACACAAACAGAAAACCAACCCTCTAAATGAAAACCGCACAATACTTACAATCACAGAGTGGAAACATAAAGCCATGCATGAAAGTGACAAGCACTAAATTAATGACAAGGAAAGGCACAAAAATTTTATTTCTGACAAAATGAGTGTAAAGCAAGTTATGTGAGCCACCGAGACCTGCACGGTGCGTGTTAAAGTAGTCTCTCAGATCCTGCCTATTTAATGGGACAAACATGCTGGACAGACACACGGTGGCACTGCTCTCCTGGCTACTTGACTGGGAAATTCTCCTGTTTCCCAGGAACTCAGAAAAGAATAAAGACCTCTGGCTGGCAGCTCTAGTGAGCACTGACCTTCAGTGTTTTAGGCACCAGCAACTACTTCCTCAAGCCTCAACTGCTGCTGCTCAAGAGTGAGTCTTGGCTGCTGAGGATCGGAGTGCCCTTCTCTATCTAGTCTGGTGATCCAAGGTCATTTTTCAGTCAGAAAAGTACAGTCTCGTTCCTAAGTACCACTGAAAAATCTTAAGAAGACACTGACTCACCCTAAAAGCAATTGTAAAATACACCTAGTGTATTTCCTTTTTGGGTGCCCAAGACATGACTCAATAGCAACAGGGGCCCTAGTGACAGGAACTTCTCTGGAGAGTTACAGAATTGGTGAACTTCCAGGGTAAGTGAGAAAAGGAGAACCCTGAGAGCAAAGCTTCCCAGCCAGGGCCACACAACCCAAACCCAAGGCATCAGGGGGTTCAATGCAGCCCTGGAAGCCGAGAAAGAAAAGCCACAAGGCTGACGTGGAAGTCAAAGCTCAGAGCCAAAAAGCCACTCCAACCCCACTTCCCTGTGGGGCGCATAGTAGCGCATGACAGACACTCTGAAAGCTGTCTGTTTATTGGAGGAGATAGAAAGGCTAATTTGAAAACAAACAGGCACAGACCAATGTGCTTAAAGCAAACCATGGTGCCCTCCTCAGCAGTGGGTACACCACGGCCATGGTGTTAACATGCTTGGGGACAAGTTCTTTCTCTGCCACCTGCTCCTGACAAAGAACCAGCCTCTCGACTTAGCAATTTCAGCTTATGCTTAGGAAGGAAAAGAACAATCACAGCTTACACAAACAACAGCAAGAGGTCCCCAGTAACATATAAACTACATCTACACTGGTCACATTTCATAAAATGTACAATGAGTCTTGAGATTAGCCTCGCCGTAGTACTGAGCAGAACTCAGGTACTCTGTGAAGAAGTCCGGATATGACTGAAACCACGAAGGAAACAAGAGACTTCTAAAGACACAGACACACACTCACCTCAAGAGTACTATGTACACAACACAGCAGCAACGCAAGTGGGCTTCCAGCAAGGGGTATGTGAACCAAAGCCCTCTGCGCCCCACCCCTCACGAGTCCCCAGACGAATTCAGCAGCAGCAAACCCACAGTGCAAATGTGAGGGCCTCAGCTCTGAAAGACACGGTGTGCAGGACCTCCTCTGGAAGTCCTTGGAGCCTGCGTGGTGGGGAAGGCGGTGACAGTGCATTCTACTGCATATACCTGAAATACGACAGTGTGGGGTTCTCTTTCCAGACTTCATCAATTCTTCACGCTTTCTGAGAAAAATGAAGCCTGAAATCTTCTTTCAGCCTGTATGGTTAAAGCAAACCAGGAGCAAAGCTCCTGTGCCCTCTGTAGGGTATGGCTTGGATCAGTAAGCCTCCCGCTCAAATCTACAGAGGGCAGCCCTCCACGGCTCTCCCTCCTCAAGTCTACAGAGGGCAGCCCTCCACGGCTCCCAGGCAGGGATGCCTGGAGAAGCCCCAATGAAAGGTGTCAAGCGAAAGCAATGAGGCCATGAAGCTGTGCCAGGTGGGAGAGTCTCTCTACTAGTTAGATGAATGGATGACCTCTCAGATAGATCGGAAACTAGACGAGTGGGGGTTAGAACCACCAAGCAGACCCCCTGAGCTGGGCAACACTGTCTTTCATGTTGTTCAATACCTGTATTTAAGAAACCCAAATGGTTCTCCCCTGTGACTTCTTTGCAACTCAAAGCCATAACTTACTCACAGTCCACACTATAAACAGACTGTATATACAGATTTTTAAAACACAAAACTCACAAATGTAAAAGGGAGGGAAAAAAGACAGTGAGTTCTAGCTTTTCATTATCTAAGTCACAGCATTTGGGCTGGCCTTGGTGACCTGCCCCTCTCATTCAGTCCTGCTCCGGCTCTCCTGGCCCTGGGTGGACACTACTCATCTTCCAAGGCAGAGGTCAGAATCCCCTTGTCAGTCAGGTGAGACTTGAGTGTGTTGAAGATGTGGAGCTGCTGATCTGGTCGCAACGTCAGAAACTGTTGAATCAGTTTGCTCGGGTTTGGGCCCCTACAACAGAACATGAAGCATGATTGAGCAGGGGCAGTCACTTTGCAGGCCCAGTTATCCAAGTGGAACTCTGATCTGTAAATTCACTATTAGTAGAGGGAAGAGACCTCAGACAATCCATAAACATAAACATCTAAAAACCACATTCAAGCTTAGGATGGATTTTACTGAACTTAGGAGACTAATTTGAGGATATCATCATACTTTAAAAATCCAGTCAGGCATGGTGGTGCACACCTTTAATCTCAGCACTCAGGTGGCCGAGGAAGGTGGACCTCCGAGTTTGAGGTCAGCCTGGTCTATAGAGAGAACAGCCAAGGCTACACAGAGAAACCCTGTCTTGAGAAAAACAAAAAACAAAAAAAAGAAATCTGCTCATCTGGTTCGGGTGGGGGTAACCGTACCTGATAAAGCTGGCAATGTACACATTGACAAAGGTGGCCATCAGGTACTGGCAGTCAAAGCGATCCATGATGCCTCCATGACCAGGAATGGTATTGGCAAAGTCCTGTTGGAGGCAGAGAAAAGAAGGGTGAGCCTGGCCTCACAACAACCAAATCCCAGACTAAAAGATCCACCCCATAACCAGAGCCCTGCTGGGTAGAAAAGGTGATGGAAAGAGGTATAGAATCAAATGCTCAGGTAGTCACAGAATACAACTATAAATTACAAAATGTTCTTTTGTTGAAAAAAACTAACAAACTAAAAACTGACTTTACTTCCGCTTACTGACCCTCAAGTCCAGCGCATGGGTCAAGAAGAGCAGACGCTAAGTGACAAGGTGCATGAGCTGGTATGGTGGAGAGGTAAATGCTGACGGAGCAGGGCAGAGAAGGGAACATGGACAGGCAACAGGAAGTGAGGGGTGAGGGATAGAGGGGGGCGTTTCCCTACTTTGATTTTAAAGGCTCGTTTGAATCCACTTGCGAAGAATCCTCCAAATGGACCGATGAGAGAGGCAAAGGTGGAGAGAGCGATGCTGTGGATCTGGAAAGGGTACATCCTCACTGTTTTCTGAAGAGAGTGAAATTCAAGTCAAGCAATGGTCAAGTCTGGCTTTTTACAATTAATGGAACAAGTTAACAAAACTAGGTATCTCTTTTTCAATTAATCAGAAGACTGAAGGGCTGGAGAGATGGTTCAGTAGCTAAGAGCACCTGCTGTTTCTGCAAGAATCTGGGTTCAGTTTCTAGAACACATGGTAGTCCTACAACCACCCATAACTCTAGTTCAAGGAGATCTGTTTTATTTTTAAACCAAATCTCAATCTTATGATTCTATCAATAAAGACTCTGGAGTCAGATGCTGGGATGAAAACCTGCTAGCTCAGAGAAGTCGAGGAGCAACCAACCAACTGACCCTCCTCTTTAGACAACTTCAAAAAAGAGAGAGCTTCTCTTCCACAATCTCAAACCAAAAAGGCTGCCAAACTCAAAATCCTTCTCTACTGCTTCCTGTGTGTTGCTCTATTCGTTTTCCTGACTCTCTCTTACTCTCTAGGACTACTTCCTGTCAACTATTTGCTGGCTCAGCCTCAATGTTGACTTTATTTAATTAACATAATCTCAGGGTTCATGGTGTGATCAAAAATTCCACAACAGATCTCTCGCCCTCTTCTGGCCTCCACTGGCACTGCACACACATACAGCCCTAGTTAAAGTCTCTAACATATGGCCCAATGGTAGACAGTAAACTATTCTGGCCTTGAGGTGGTACACGCCTATAATCCCAGCACTGGGAGGCAGAAGCAGTAGGATGAGGAGTTCAAAGGTACCATTAGCTACAGAGACTTTAGGGCCAGTCTATACTACATAAGAACTTGTCTCAAACAAACAAAAGAAGTAATCAACTTCCTATGATGTTTTGCAGGCAATATATGAAGAAATCCAGCCTTAGCCTTACAGAGAATATAATTTTAAAAAGATGTGTATTTCAGCAGTCTTCTTAGAGAATTGTGGGCATTCTTTAACTTTTCACTAGAACTTGACAGGTATGGTTTCTTAAAGCTTAGGGGAAGGCTGGGGAGATGTTCACCAGTTAAAGTACTTGCCCTACAAACAAGAGGACCAGAGTTCAGAGCCCCAGAACTCATGGAAATGTTGGGTGTGCATGGCAACCAGCTATAACTCCAAACTCTGAAGAGGATCCCAGAGTAAACTGGCTAGCAAGAAGGCATAGTGCTAAATTCATGATTAACTCAAGAAGCCCTGCCTCAAAAGAATAAGGTAGAAGAACAATTGAGAAAGATTTCTGTCATCAACCATAGGCCTCCACACACATATGTATGAATGCAGACACCTAAAAATATACATACATTCATGCAACCATACACATAGGAAGAGAAGAAAAATAGCTGAGAGCCAGGTGGTGGCACACACCTACAATCCCAGCACTCACAAGGAGGCAGAAGGATTTCAAGTTCATAGTGAGATCCTGCCTCACAAAAACAAAAGCCAAAAAAAAGTTAGGTACAGTGTGGAATCTGAAGTCTTCCTAATGAGTTTTTTGTGCTTTTTCACATAAATCCATTGGTCTACAATGTACCCAGACATGACTGTGAACACCATATACCAACATCTAAGAAACACCAGGTTACTGTTATGCAACTGTTAGGCAAATGTGAGCACATTCTGTTATGTGAGGTCAGACAGTTTTGAAGTGCCAGAAAGCCACCATGTTCACAATGACAGGTGCATGTTTTCAAAATTCTCATTTTCACCTGAAATGTGGATTTTTATCATTGGTAACAACTATCAGTCAGTTTCTTTGAAGTAACAGGCTTACTTCACTCTTCTCAAGAAAAATGTCCCATTACACCCAAGTCTCTTCAAATGAAAACTCCCTGCCAAGAACTCAGCAGCTAGCTGAGCTCACGACGCACACAACTGTGCACCTTTCTTTCCTTAGGACACACTATGCTTCAGTACTTGGCAGAAATACTTTCTGTGTATTTTCCATTTCAGTACAGAGAATATTAAAATGGTGTCGAGGATCGGAAATATTTTAATGAAGTTACTAATTTTAGAATTCCATCAAGGGCACACACAAGAGCAACTGTCTTGTCTACATTTGCCAGGAAGGTATAGCATGAAGCAAGCAATCAGGAGCTGGTCCAGGCAGGGCTGTAGTTTTCACTCATACCCAAGTGTCACAAATTTTCACCACTAATTCTGTATCATCAGAAGATGTCAACCCAGAGAAAGAGGTGCATATTATTTAGAAAGCAGCCAGGGGACTTCACAGACCCCTTTAAAAAGATCTCAGGGTCCTCTAGGAACCCACACAGCAGGAGAACCACTCCTCTAAGTGACATGAAGTTGGGGAAAGGTCTCCTCTATCTTGATCCTGACCCAGAGCTCAGAGCTCTGGGAGGAGGGGGAGCTAGTATCTCTGGAGGGAACCCCTCCCTGCAGCCACCCAGCATTTAAGTGGCACATACCCAGCCCACTATCGACTGGACCACTCCAGGGATGTTGTACTCCTGTAGGCGGAAGAGGTCAGATGGCTCACAGTCCACCGTGAAGCTGTTGGTGTCATTGTTGTACTCCACAGGACAGACGAAGCATCTGTACCCAGACATCACATAGGAGAGCTAGGGATGGAGAGCAGAGGGGCAAGCAGGAACATCAGCTGTAGACATCCAGCCTGAATGGCCAGCACCATGATTCTCAGAGTTCCTCCCACCTTGCTCACTGGATGCCATGGGCTCAAAGAAAGTCTTGTGTTTTACTACATGTATATTTTTACCTGAATAAAAAGGTAATAAACATAAAAATAAAAAGGTAATAAAAATAAAAAGGTTCATATGTCTCACTGGGGACTCACACATGTATGTCCAAACACAAACCTTGAAAAAAAACGCAGGAAAGATCTGAGCAAAGAGCTGTAGGACAGTTCTTCCCACCTGTGGAGCCCAGTCCCATTGTGCTAAGAATCTCTAAAGTCAGTGCTACAGAGAAGCCATGGTTGGGGTGTGGTGGGGAGGGTACAGTGACAGCCAGCCAACACTAGAAAAGGGAAGGACTGAGAATCAGCAGCAGGGAACAGTGTCTTCAAACGGCTAGAAGATTGTACTCCTGAACAAGTCATATGCAGAAGAAAACCTTGAGAGGAAGCAACACTTCTTACCTCACCCCTTAATCCAAGCTGCCAGTCGCCACCCCAGTCTTAGTTTACTACCTGGTGCCTGGGCATAAGAGGACATACAGGGTATGCATGGGCCCTACACAACTACCTGAAAACTGGAAGCTGCCATGCCAGTTACAAAATGTGTTCTTTTGAGCAAGGCCAGCACTGGGCAGGAAAGAGTCTCTGGTTTGGAAAGACAAGACATATTCTCCACTCCTGCACAGGCCTCTGAAGACAGTGTCAGGCCCTGTACCCTCCCCATCCAGACAGTAGTTATCACCTACCAGAAGGCCAAACACCACAGTGGCAAAGAAGCCCCCAATGAAGCCTTCCCAGGTCTTCTTCGGGGAGAGCTGCAGACAGAAACACACTGTCAGCAAACGATAAGTTTGTAACTTCAGTTGTTGCTTGGTTACTTAGGAAAAGTATTTCCAGCCAGGTGTGATGGCACAAACCTTTAATCACAGGTCTAAGGAGGCAGAGGCAGAAGGATTTCTTTGAAGTCAGCCTGGTCTACACAGTGAGTTCTAGACCAACCAGGGCTACACAGTAAGACCATCTCAAAACCATACAAACAGGAAGTATTGCTACATAAAATCCCTCTTCAATTAATCATATCACTTTCAAAATTCTCCCCAAAAATGTTTTTTCTTGTTTCCTATCCTATGTTCTTCAGATTAGTTTTCTTTCTAGTTCATTAGTGACTTACACATTTATTGTATTATAAAAATACACATTAATAATAATAATCAAAGACTGGAGCCCCCAAAGTATGTCTACATAAAAATATTTTATTTGGTAGGTTTTTGGAAATAAGTATTTGCCTATGTCTCTTTGAGCTTTTTTTTCTCTTACATATCCCTGGAGTGACAAAAGACAGGACTGAGTAGATACACACCAACAAGATTTCTTCTCTAATCCACTGACAAGCCATACAGAAAGCATTACCACCCACCGGGACAACCCATATCAAGGTGACCCACTTACCTTAATGAGCGGGGTCCGACCAAAGAAAAAGCCAAACATATAGGCCATAATATCATTACAGATGACACATGAAATGGGAACAATGAACCTAGAAAAAAAATCCGAGAGAGAAGTAACTCTACCAAGATGATCTCAGAAGTCTACCAAAGAATGTCAGTAATAATTCAGTACACCAAAATAACTCATGGTGTATTTGTAACTCTTTAAGATTTAGGTTGAGAAGAAAGAAAATAAATATGGGAAGAGGAAAGGAATCAGTGAAATGGAAAGGAAGTAAGAGAGGGCAATAAGGGGTGAGTAATGAAAATATACTGTATACACATGAAAACATAATAAAATACATTACTAAGCTTAGTTGATTATCTATAAATACAAATTTAAAAAGAAAGTAAATCAGGTATGGCTGTACAAGCCTCTACCACCACCTGGAGAGGATAAAAAGGACTGCTCTAGGTTCAAGGCTGGCTCAGGCTACAGAGACACCATCTCTAAGAAAAGCAGTGGAAGAACACACACCAGTGTTGTCTCTAGCACCTGGCACATGACTGAATGACTGAACAAATGAAGACAGCATTTTATAAATGCCATCTGAATCTCTTTCACTACAAAGTAGTACATGAGCAAGATAAGAAACTGCTCACGGTGGGGGCATTGCTTATTTCCCCACTCTTTATACTACTCCCCAAAACAGCAACCTAAAATCTTTTTCTGCCTAATAATTATCTTTAGTTTTTAAGTAATACACATCATATACGTCATACTTGAATTTCCCATGTTAATTACTAGCACTAATATTCTCTATGTGTTTGAATGAGAATGGCCCCCACAGGCCCATTTATGTGACTGCTTGGTCATCAGTTGGTGGAACTGTTTGAGAAAGATTAGGTGTAGCCTTGGTGGAAGAGGTATGTCACTGGAAGCAGGCTTTGAGGCTTCAAAAGTCTAAGCGCCCCCCATTTCTGTGTGTGTGTATGTGTGTGTGTGTGTGTGTGTGTGTGTGTGTTCATCTGTGTCTCTATCTCTGTCATGGACTCTCCCCAAATACAATGTTTTCTTTCATGTTTTGGTCATGGCAACAGAAAAGCAACTAAGACCAACAAAAGACCAGGGAGTGGGCTATTGTTGTAACAGGCCTATTCACGCTGTTTGTGGAGGAATGTGGAACTTTAGGACTGTGAACGAGGAAAGTAGTTGAACACTGTAATAGGGCTAACTTGGCCATCCTAATAGGCGCTTAGTAGTGCTGAGTGGACCGTGGATGCTCAGCTCAAGAGGTTTCAGAGAACAGTATTAGCAACTGAGCTTGAGACTGGTCTTGTGATAGTTTCACAAAGAATGTGGCTACTTTTGCCCCATCCTAAGAATTTGCCAGAGGCTAAATTGAGGAGTTTTGGACTAATTTCATTGGCAGAGGAGACTTCGATGGATAGCCTAAAGTTGACTCTGCTGTGGTTACTAGTGATCACTCTACTGCAGATGTTCAATGGAAAGGAGAAGTGGGGTAAAAAGAAATGGAAAATGTTCAGTTTGAGAAGAAAAAAAGAACCAAGAAATTTAATGTTGGAGCCAAGGTTTGTGCTGAGAGAGATGAGGAGAAATGGATAAAGTGAGTGCTGCCCTCAAGGTAAGAGATCACCCAGCTAAACCCACAACTTGTGAAAAGTTTTGCCTAAGGAATTACCTGTTCCTTAGAGCAACAACAATCAAAGCTTATGCAAATGATATTCAAGGAGGTTGGGTTCCATCCTCAGCATCAACCAAGTGATTCTGGCTTTATTCATGAAAGATACAGAAGCAAAGGGGTTTTGGAATCTTCTCCCTAGGTTAAGGGAAGCTACTGAGGACAGACATGTGGCAGGAGAGTCCCTGAATGAAGACCCATAATAGTCCCCGTTGTACGAAGCTGTCAAAGTAGGGCCTGGATTGTACTGTAGACCCCAGAATGTTGGAGGTGCCAAAACTGTGGGAACCCAGGCAAGGAGAGCTGCACACAATAAGTAGAACAAGCCCAAGAAAAGAAGTGTGCTGTAGTCGGCAACGCGGGGAGGAGACAGCTCCACCTTTGACACGTGACATGGAGCTACAGGATTTGGAATTTGCCATGCTGGGTTTGGTCTTGCCTTTGGTCCAGTATTTCCTCACTACACTCCATTTCTTTCCTTGGAATAGTAATACAACTGTTGTGCCACTGTATGCTGAAAGTATATAATTTGTTTTTTTTTATTTTACAAGGCATTATAATTAAGAAATTGCCTTGAATCTCAGAGATTTTGTACTGTGAAGCTATTGAGTCTGAAGATTATGAAGACTTTTGAAGTTCAAATAAATACATTTTACACAAAGATATGGTCACAAGCCTACAGGAGCCAAGGAGTGGACTGTGGTGATCTGAGAATGACCCCCAAAGGCTCACAGATTTGAACACTTGGTTGTCAGCTGGTAGAACTATTCCAGAAGGATTAGGGGTGTGACCTTGTTGGAGGTGGTGTATCACTGGGGGCAGGCTTTGAGGTTTCAAAAAGACTTGTTATTTCAAATTAGCACTCTCTCACTCTCTCTTGCTCTCTCTGTTTCCTGGTTATAACAAGTTCAGGGTTCAGAGATACGCTTCTTCCTTATTCCTCCCCTGCTGATATGTCCTTCCTAACAGAACTGGTCCAGTCTACCCCTTAGTAGCACTCTGATGCTGTTCTAAGCTCCTCTGTTCACACAGTGTAATATGCTATATGGAAATTGTGGTATTTCCTGGCTTGCTCTGAGGGAGCTGAAAGTGATGGGCTCTTCACCTCCTCAGTATTTCCTTCATCGAGGCTTCCAGCCATCTCTATTCTACAGAACTAAGATGAGGCCTTCATTAGAAATGCTAATAATAGCCACAAATGATCCTCATGGTATGCTTAGCCCTGAATTTAGCACTCTTAAAAAATACCTAACAAAAACCCAGACAGGGAAGGAGCTGGTGGGCCATTACACTTGTTTTTAGAGGTGAGTACATTCTGAGATGAAGCTTGTGAGCTTGTCACCCACAGCATTTACTATCTCTCTCAGTACACTGTGTCCTGACCATCCCACTGAGGGCACCTAGCTTCTCCAGTCAGCCTGTGAATAACAACAGACAAGTTCCCACGCCCTTAAATCAGATCACACAGAAGCATACCGTTCTTCTGACCCACCCACTGCCAGAGACAATTCTCCAGCATGTTATTTATTTTTCATCATAAAGGAAATCAGTTTCCCATCTCCTTCTCCCTCTGTATGATCTTCAGTGGGGTCAGGTAACTATCAGTTCTTGACCTGTCTGGTCCTGTTTCTTCTGCCACATGGGGAACTATCAGTTTTCAAAGCTCCTTGTAATTACTGACCTATTCACATGTGTTTGCTGTGAAATAATCTTTTTGTACACTGTGAAGATGTGTCACACTGATTGGTTTAATAAAAAGCCAGAACAGCTAATAGCTAGGCAAGATTTTCAGGGCGGAGAAAATGCCAAGAAGAAGAAGGTGGAGAGATGAGGCAGGCACGGAGGAAGCAGGAAAGCAGCATGGGCAGCACAGAGTAAAGGTAAGTAAGCCAGGAGGCAGGAAGTAAATAGATGAAAATGGGTTAATTTAAGTTGTAAGAGCTAGAAACAGGCCTAAGCCATCAACTGAGCTTTCCGTGTGGTTATTTGGGAGCTGACTGATAGGAGAGAAAAATCTACCTCCATGTGTATATTCATTACCTTCCTTGTTTATAGGCTGTAGGAAATCATGATTATTTAGCCTACATTATCAAGTCTGCTGCCACAGTTTTTGACCTTTGGTTCTTTAACTTTCAATGAACCTGCCAATCTAGATTAGAGCATTTCAGAGTCCAGTTCTGAACAACAGCATCTACCTCACCTCGGAATGGACTAGAAATTAAATTAGGTGCCACTCCAGACCTATGGGAATCACCTATACTTTGTAAACCGCCTACAGAAAATCCTGATGTGCTCATGGTGGGAAGCTTAGAAACGGAGGCAGAGATCCTTAGCCTACCTGTGTATGAGAACCCCCAACCCTGAAGGGAAAAAGTGTCCCGGTGTCACTACTTACCATATCATTCCTTCAAACAAGTTATGGATAACAAGATGTGATTGGGTTACGACAATAAGCAAGGTCACATGGGTCCAGCCAAACTGCAAGAGAAAGGAATGAACTCTACTTACCAAGTGTATTGCCAAAGCAGCTTCAAAGAACGGGAAGGGACAAATGGGAAACTACCGAGAACCAGGGAAGCCCTGCTGTAACACCTGCTCACGGGCAGGGAGAAGCACAGAACGAGTCTCTGGAGCAGCACAGCCCCTCCCAGTGACTAAGTCAGACACGGGTGAGGCACGCCTGAAATCTGAGCGCTTCAGAGGCAGGAGGACTGTAAATGTGGGACCAGTCTAAGTTACATAGTCATACCCAATCAAACAACAGAAACCAGCAGGGTCTGCCTGGTACTAGTGAATGAGTCCTTTCCCGCTCTTGAGCCTGGGACATTTCATTTTCCTGTTCACAGAGACTGTCTCAGGCCAAGGCAAGAAATGGCCAGCACCAACAATGAATGAGATGGAGGCTCTGCAGCAGTGCCTCTACGGCTGCAGTATGGCCCTCCCTAGAGCCCACCTTCAGAGGAAAGACCTCTGAAAGTGTAAGCTGAGAGTCTGGTCTAGGTAGATGAAGGACGGCAGGACTCTTGTCTTCCTGCTCTAGGTTCTAGATGAATACAGAACAAGCCATATCAAGTTTTGATTTGTTACAGAAACATCAAAAGGCCTAATGAGTTTCCACAGATCATCAGTCCAACAAACTCAGCTGGTTAGTTTCTGCAGATCTTCAAGTAAACCAAGAAATCAACTTCAATCTCTCTCACACACACACATAAAATGAATATTCATACTCTCCCCTCCCACTCCCACTCCCCTTACCATGTAGAACTGCAGTCGGTAATGCTTCTTAACTAGACTCAGCACAAACATGCAGAACCCTAGTTAGAGACAGGAGAGAGGATAAAATGACTCACACTGCATTTCTTTCTCTTTTTCTTTAGCTGAGTTAAGTGGTCTATTGACTAACTTAAGCAGTAGAGAGATTTCAAAGCCCACAGGGAAAATTAGCTTACAGCCAACGTAATCAAAGTCGTAAGCCTGCTTCCTAGTGTGGTCAGTTGACATCACAAAATTTTAACCAACTCGTACAAATGAAACAAAGGAACACATGCCCAGAGGAGAACTGGGGAAGCACACGATACATACCTGTGAGATACAGGGTAAAGGAAATGAACCGGTGGTATTTACTGAGAATTCGCAAGGGCTCCTCTCTTTGGACCAGAGTGAAGAAGTAATCCGTCACTGTCTCACCATAGAAGAAGTAGTTTACACACAGAAGAAAGTACCTGGAAATGACGAGAACGCAGTGCCAGGGAACTGCGTGCACCCCTCCTCCATGGGCTGTCAGAAAGCCCCGAAAGGAGAACAGCCCACCACCTTGAGATCTGATCTAGAAACTTATGGCACATTTTATTTTATTCTCCCTTTATTACAAACCTGGAAGTCTGTCATCACCCCCCCTCTTTGTAGTGTTCCCACACCCAATCTTGGGACCCTCCAAAGGGTGCCTCAGCCCACCTCCCTAGGGTCACTCCCACTATTCACACAGGATCTCTCTATTTCTGTCACTTGACCTTGTCACTGTCTGTTCTGCTTTATCTCTTCCTTGCTTGGAACACCCTTCCATCTATCCACTGTTTTCATTTGTTGCTCCAACACCATTTTAAGTAGATGACAGATAGATAGATAGATAGACAGACAGACAGACAGACAGAGGATGGATAGATGGGTGGATGGATGGTTGGATGGATGAATGAACGGACAGATAGATAGGTAGGTAGATAGATGAGGCCTAACCTGATATCCATTACCACATCATATTTTCTATAGCAAGCAGTAGCTAATGACTTCATTAGGCAACTGGGCTCCGTCTCCAGACACAGCCTCCTTTGGAAGCCTGGCTGTGACGCAGACCCTTCACCTAGCATTAACTATTATTTGTTTGCATCCTCTCTTCAACTGGAGGAACAAGAGGGGAAGCCACAACCAACAGCTCCCTTATGCTTCTGGATACGGGATCATGCTGCATCAGCCCAAGCTCTCAACAGAAGAAACCAAAGATCTTCTCTTTCCCATCTCTTAATTATGAAAAACCCCCACACTGGGTTTATTTTCCATTGTGTGGAAAAATTTTCTTTGCAAAGTGACCCTAGCAAGGGTCGGGCCTCCAGAGTATGTAACAAAATTCAAAACACAGCTGGCTAACTGCAGAACAGCCACAAAGAGAACATCTGACCCAGAGAGCAATCCCAAGGGCAGATGGAGGCTGAGGGTCAGCTTGTACTGTTGAGTGATGTCAAACACATGGAAGAGTGTACCCATGGCTGAGCAAGTCAGCTTCCTTGGTCATTACCACGTTTCTCACGCACAAATCAGTACCATCAGTCCATTAAGCCACAAAACAGCACAGTCAGTGAGTCTTCCCAGCTCTGCTAAAATAGCACCACCTGAGAACAGGGGAGCCAACAGCAGGTGTGTCCAGAAGGGGCTCAGAAATCATACATGCTACAGTTCTTTACTTAGCTTTTCTGTTAGGCAGCCAAGCCTTTTTAGGAGATGAAGAAAAAAAAAACAGTCTCTGAAGGAGCTCAAATCATAACCGTGCTGGCACCCTGAGTTCCTCAGAGGAAGAAGCGTTCCAACAGATGAAGCCTCAATGATCCATTGTACTGATGAGGAAATCAAGTTCCAGAGACAGCAACAGTGACACCAGAACCTGCCAGCTCCCAGCTCCCAATGAGTCCAGTGAGGTGCTGGGTTGCAGCATAAAACTACGCTGATCTCAGGTGGGGACGCAAAATGTCATCCCTGGCTGCAGGAACTAAGGACTCCTACTACTGAGGTAGACTCAGGCACACACACATGTTTCTTCTAGGGAAGACACCAGCTACTGAAGACTCCTGAGACAGCCATACAATCCAGTCTATGAAAGACACAGGCTCAAAGATACCGTGCAATTCTGTGGCAATGGCTGTCTCCACCATCACTCTCTAAGTACTACCATAAATCATATGACCCACATCAGGCAAGGTGCCCCATGGACCAAGAAGCTTACCAGCTGAGGGTCCTGAACCAGGGCAGGTCATAGGAGTGGTATACATTGTAGCCAATAGTGATTATCTCATGGAAACACTTAATCTGAACACACATCACCTGAAAAACAGAAAAGGGAGAGCTCTTCCTAGGGTCTTCACAGGCCTTCAGCCCAGTCATGGCACTTAAGAGCTGTTTCCGTCTTACACTGATTCTGCTTCCCCCCCCCCCTTTCTCTCAGACCACCCCAGGGTAATATAGACCTCTACTTCACAATTTCTCATAGTAAAATGTACAGTCCTAGTGTCCTCATTAACCTTTTATTCTAGAACCTTCTAGGACTCAATCAATCCTCTTCCTACTTTGAGCTTGGATATATACATTGGGGGCCTCCACTGCTTTGCTCAGCATCCAGCTGTCACATCTAGAACTGTCTGGAATGGTTGTGTTGACTACATTTTGTCCACCTGACACAAACCAGCGACATCTGAGAAGAGCGAAGCTCAACTGAGAAAAACGCCTCTACTGGACTGGCCTGTAGACAAGCCTGTGGAGCATTTTCCTGTCCGCTGAGGGTGGTGCCATCACTGGGCAGGTGACCCTAGGATGTATAAAAAAGCAGACTGTGCAAGTCATGGGGAGCAAGCCACCAAGCAGTGTTCCTCATTGTCTCTGCTTTAGCTCCTAGCTCCAGTTTTCTGCCCTGGCTTCCTTCATGATAGGCTGATCAGGACATGTAAACCCTTTCCTCCCCAAGTTGCCTTTGGTTATGGTGTTTATCATAGCAACAGAAAGCCAAACTAAAACAGGCAGGAAGATTGAACTCCTGTGGACTGCAACTTCTTAATGAAAGTTCTGAGTCTGTGCGTAAAGCCCCAGGAAAACAAGAAACAAAACCGGAATCTCACACAAACCAGCAGCCAAGGCCCTTCATGCCAGTGACCCTACAGCCAGCACACGAGAAATGGGGGGGCTACAGTGCTCCATGACACAAGCTTCTGAGAAACTTGGGGCTCCGAGGATTCCCAGAACCAAGCCTACACAAGGCACAATTGGCAGCAGGCACTGCAGATGGCCCACCCCAGAGGTAAAGCTGAATGCAGCACTACCATGGCTTGTCACCGGTACTTACAATCATCATCAACACCATTGGTCCCAGGTATATGATAATGAAGAAAAATGCAATCATGGCCAAAGTCAGGATGCCTCTCACCCACCAGTTCTTCCATCTAGGCGAAAAAGAAAGTCCCATCAGGAGCCCAGGGAGAACCAGAACACAAGCCTAAAGGAGTGAGACTGGAGGACCCTGCAGGTAGTAATCCTCTCGGAGCAGCTCCTTCCCCTCAGCAGAGGCGCAGCTGGGGAGGGCAGGACGCCAGCTCACAGCCAAACTCAGCTGGTTCAGAAGTCACACTAGCACACACCTCAAAGTCTGAGGGTAGTGTGGGGAGAGTCAGCGGATAAGACAATGTCCTTTGCTCCTGTGTCTACATGGATGGCTTTCATAGCCATTTCTAAGGCTAAAATCATTTTTTTTCTACAGCTGGCTTCTACATGGCATGGCCCTGAAATCATAATGATAGCAATTGTCTTAGACAAAGAGAGTACCAACTATCACAAACATGCAACAGGCATATCTATAGAACTTTATGTATTAACCCACTTAACCCTCAACACAACAGTCTAAATAGGTTTTATTTCAACTGGCATTTTTAAATCAGCATATAATATTTGTACATATTATGCTTAGAAATGGAAACAGGGGGCTGGAGAGATGGCTCAAAGGTTAAGAGCACTGGCTGCTCTTCCAGAGGTTCTGAGTTCAATTCCCAGCAACCACATGGTGGCTCACACCATCTGTAATGGGATCTGGTGCCTTGTTCTTGCCTACAAGTAGAACACTGTATACAAATAAATTGGGGGGGGGGGGGACAGATCCTGCAGCAAGCTAATGGAAAACTGGGCTTTGAACCCAGATCCATGATGTCCTTACCCACAGAAGGCACACAAACACTTTCAGAGAATGCTCTGGAGTCTTATGATTTGTGCTTCTCATACACGCAGCTGGTATTTAGGGGACTGGTTTTCTTGAGTCAGGAGTTTTACCCCTGATTCACTTGAGCTGAAACACTTCTTAGTTCTCCCTGGAGAACTGAAAGAAATGTTTACAGCGGATATATGTGGAGAGAAAATAATCTTAAACCAGAAACCCTAAAAACCTCAACCTCAGCCTTTCATGCAATTGGCTCGGTGCACCACTAAGTCGGTTACCTTGAAGACAAGTTGGAAAGAGCCCTGTTAAGGACCTCTGGGGTATCATCTATGGAGGCTGGTGGGGGAGCTGCTTCTGCTCGGCTCTCACTGTCTGATGCAGTCTCTCCATCTATCTTCGCTTCTGACTCCGATTCCTACATGGCAAAAACAGAAGAGCAAAGGTCAAAAATGCTGGGTTAACTACTAAGAAGTGTGTGGTCATCATGGAAGGCCCACGGGAAAAGAGCTCAAAGAGCACCTGGACAGTGAGGTGACAGAGCAGGTGGCACGCAGTAATCCTGACAGTGTTCTGACATGAGAAGGGGCATCTGTGCCATGCACACCATGGGGGAGGGGAGGAGAAGACAGACATAGCTCACTTGTATCCCGAGAATGCAAAAAGGAGGAGACTGTGACTAACTTCCTGAGGGCCTGCCCGTGAGCCTGCCATTATCTAAGTATCCCAGGCTCATCCCTGTCAGGGTACAAGCACCCAGAAACAGCTATCCACTTCTGAAGACCCCTCTCCAGCAGCACTTGAACCTGAGAGCAGCCCCTATTGTGCCATGGCATGCTGTGGACTCCCATAAGTTCCAGAGTGGCCAGAAGAAGCCAAAGTTGTGGTTTTTTGTCCCCAGAGACTAGTAAATACCGCCATGCCCCAAAGCCCAGGAGACTTCTGGCCCTCACAAGAATACACTGTGAGAGCTGCCACAACCAGAGTAGAAGCCCCACGTTCTGGTCCATTCAAGTCAATGCTCTAGCCAGAACTGGGGTACCTCCCTCCGCCTCACACACGAGGCTGGCCATCAGCAAACTCTGCAATGGAACTCGCAGCGCTGCCGTACAGAATTATCCTCCAGGAAACGCCTGCAGAACTGACCTGTCCCCTGCCTGAGAGGAGGAACAAAAGCACACCAGCCACAAACGCTACCCCAGCACCAGCAACAGACTATTCTGCTCCTACAAACCATCTTGTTTCCCAGATCTTTTCTTTCTTGGGAGCAACTGGACCAGGTGCTGTGAGAAGAGTGGGGGAATCAGATCCCTTAGAACTGAACAGCACCTCTTAGCAATCTGTGGACTGTCCCCAACCCAACACAGTGTGAGATTCAGAGCAGACTGGGAGGAAAGGAGACACAGTCAGCCCTGTCTACAAATAAGAAATGGGCTCTGGGAAGCCTGTTTGGCCCAATGTCCCATACTAACCCACCTCTTCTAACTTCAACATGCTTACTCCACTATATTTTCTTTCAGTCTGGAATTCATTTTATTCTTCACCAAGAAATTAAAAAAAAAAAACTAAAAATGACAGATGAAAAGCTGACTGTATGCTCTTTGATGGTAGCAGGGACCTTGAAATGCCATAGAGTTGTGGCAATAAACATGGCTCTGGCCAGTACCTCTGCCATGAGGCTAGACTCTCAGAAAGCTAAGGAATGGGGTGGATCCAGCTGTCAAAGCCGCAGCTTTAATCCTAGCCATATCGCTTAGCAAATTAAAGACTCATGTGATCAGAAAAAGAGAGATACACAGTAAAGATAGATTCAGATGAAAAAAAAAACTCTAAACGGTTTACAGTGTGTTTAAAAATTTGTGCAGGCTTGGGAGAGAAAAGATTGAAGTCCTTAAAATAAAAAAAGAGAGTAGTTGGGTTTGGTGGCACACACCTTTAATCCAAACACTTGGGAGCAGAGGCATATGGATCTCTGTGAGTTCAAGGTGTGGTGACACATACCTTTTATCCTAGCACTTGGAAGGCAGAGGAAGGCAGATCTCTTTGAGTTCAAGAACAATCTGGTCAGCCAAATAAATCCCACACCAGTTAGGTTTTAAAGGGGTATTTATTTTGGGGGGTAAAATTTACATACACATAAACCGTCAGGAAAGGAGCCTAGTCGCTGGAGCAGGAGCCGGAAACAAGCGCCAGAACCAAGAGAGGCCAAGCCGAGACTTGCGGCTCTTTTTAAAAGAGAAATATACCACGCCCCAGTGGGCTGGTATTTTCAGCGGCTATTGGCTGAAGGAGCAGAAGCTTCTCCCCCTTTTGCTTAAGTAAGAGAGTTCTAAGCCTACTATGAAATTATATACAGTAAATACAAACCTACAAAATTATATACGATAAGTACAAATATCCTATTCTAACTAGCTTAAGTCTTGTATAATAAATAACTTGGCCAAGTCATGAGAGCAAAGTAGCTACATTTATCTAGTCTTCAACCCCATAGAAGATCCAAGAAGGGAAATAATGTTACCTGAGTAATTATGAAGTGCAATCAAAGAACTTCCAAAACATGCAACAAATCACAGAGACAACTGGCTACCTGGGCAATCACCAAAGACGTGTTTGCGGCGTTGGAGCAACCAACTTTGACTAAGGCCTAGAATAACTGACAGATTATTTTTAACAGGCAAGAGATTTTTCAAAACCATCTTACCCTTCAAAACCTTGTGAAATATGACACAAAAACCATCACTTTTTAAAAGTTAAATAAATTTTACTCTCTCCCATACATAATTTCATGATTATTGACCAGTGTTATATCTTTTGTGAAATGTTTATCAAGCTACTGGTAAGTTTTTTTCTTCTGAGCTTTCTGTCTTATTAGTTTGCAGAATGTTTAAAAATGTACCCTTTTTATTTAAGAACTCTGCCACAGACATGTTCTCTCCCTCACCCTGGGACCCTCCTGCTCACAGTGAGGCTTCTTTTATAAAACTGTTTCCCAGGCAACTTTGAAACATTGGACCCTGACATCTTGTTCTCATTTCCTCGTGCCTGGTCCACAGTAAAATGCCATGGGTAGGGGAGGGAAGGAAGGGGGATTAATCCCAGGTGTGACAGAGAGACCCAGCCACTGCCCTAAGAAAGACAGCTACAGCTAAGCCGTTTACAACTGTGGTCAGCCCTGACATGGGGTCCTTGGCTAGCACGGACTGTTGACATGAAGAGACAGCTGCTGGCTCTGGTAAAGGACCTACGGACACAGTGAGGAGAAGCCACAGCTTGTCACCACTGACCCAGATGGCTCTGAATCCTTTATTTCCATTTTATGAAAGGGGCTCAGGAAAGGTCCTCCTCATCCTTGCGAGTTCCTTTTTGTGTGCTGTTTTGCTTTATTTTACAGCATGGAGATTAAACCGAGGGCCTTGCACATGCTAGGCAGGCACACTACCTAACCACCACTGATCTATAGCCTCCAGTCTAGTATAGTATTCCCTGAAGAGAGAGAAGCAAACCCCACCAGGATTATGTCCTACTCCACTGTCACAGAGACACTAACTCCATTACTGGTCCCCTCCGAGGATGCCAAGTCCTGGCACCAACGTCAGTTTCCACTCTTCAACATTTACACTCCCACAGCACTGGCCACCGACTAGTAAGGAGGACAAGATAACAATGCCATGTGGTATTATCTAGTTCTGATTCCTGGACCTCAGGCTTCCAAACATGAGCACCCCCACCCTGTAAGCCACTCACTGACATACTCTAGGAGCATCTAGAAGGCCCAGGAACTGAGCCAAGCACCAGAGAAAGCCCAGCATAAGGTTATTTTTAGCTTATCTATCCTGTTGTCAAGGAGACTCACAAAGACTGCTGGGTCCCCAGGCAGAAAAGGACAAAAACAGAGGTAGAGCTGGAGAAGCAAGCAGAGGATGATAAGAACCTCTCTGGCCAGGCAGAGCAGCACCTACCTGCCTGCAATCCTGAGATCTCAGCCCAGGAGGATGAGGCAGGGAGTCTGCTCTGAGACTGAGGCCTGCCTGGGCTTACAGGGAACTTCAAGTCAGTCAAGAATACATAGTAAAACTGTCTCAAAAACAGAATAAGTCGGGGCTGGAGAGATGGCTGAGCGATTAGGAGCATTGCCTGCTCTTCCAAAGGTCCTGAGTTCAATTCCCAGCAACCACATGGTGGCTCACAACCATCTGTAATGAGGTCTGGTGCCCTCTTCTGGCCTGCAGGCATATACACAGACAGAATATTGAATATTGTATACATAATAAATAAATAAATCTTAAAAAAAAACACAACAGAATAAGTCTCCATGGGCCTTTTATGAACTTCAAGCCTGATACTACACTTTCCCAAACCTGATTCTACTTCCCCTTAAAAGAAGAAGAAGAGGCATTCTGAAATACAAGTCAGTAAAAGGAGATAAAGTTCTTCGACTGTGTTAGTCCCAAGACCCCGGGTGACTAGGATGAGGGACTAAGAAATGGAGTAGGTCTAGAAGGAACAAGCCTGCAGGAAGGCTCCCTGGTTCTCACCTGCCTCCAATGAGCAACCTCAGGATCTCTCTGGAAACACCTTGGGCCCACCTAGAAGTACTTGCTAGATGAAAGGCCAACAACCATTCCTGACACCACGTTCCTATGCAACAACTGGGAGCCCTGAAGTTGGCACCTCTCCAGCTACTCACACTCACACCCAAGCATGGAGCTCAGGACCAAATTCACCAAGGGAACAGAAACTTGTGAGAGCCTAGAGCCTGCAGGTTTTCTAGCCTCTCCTCAACCCACAGGCAAAGGCCTCCCACTCAAGAAAGCAGCTGCTCGTGTGGACACCAGAGAAGTGGAGTGCCCACAGCAACTCCCCAGTGGGCAGAAGGCAGGGACCTGTAGCCAAATCCTGGCCCAGAATAAAAGCAGCACATTTTGCAGAGAAAAATGAGAGGGAGGGGCCAGGAGAAGTTGCTCTGCAGTGAAGAGAGCTGGCTGCTCTTCCTGAGGACCCAGGGTCTCCAGCTCCAAGAGGTCTGATGCCCTCTTCTGGCCTCACCAGGGACCAACACACATGTAGCACACACATGAAGATTTTTAACGTTTTGGGTTGATTGCTTCTTGTTTTGTTTTGTTTAAATCAGATGTGGAGCCAGGAAGAAGGCTTAGAGAGTAAAGACAGCTGCTGTCAAGCTGATGACCTGAGTTCAATCTCTGGGACCTACAAGGTGGGAGGAGAGAATTGACTTCCATAAAAGTTGTCCTCTGGCTTCCACATATGCCCCCACCCCCAATAAGTAAATAAATATAATTTAAAAACTAAAAATTCAAAAGTGCTGCACTCCAGGCGATACCAAGAAAGACAGAAGCCCAGAAAAACCTTCCACAGGAGGTGGCAGCTTCAGTCTGGGAAGCAAGGTTGGGCTCATGT